GTCTGAGTTTTACTGACCGTGCTATAGCATGTAGCGCGCCAGTTAAAATATCGTCAGCTATCGAAGGTAATGCACTGTACGTCGCGGGAGATGGTTATAACTACGACAGCAATAATCGATCTCCGTTTTGTTGGAAAGGCGACTGGACATTTGACAAAAAAAAAGAGATCTGGCGATTCATTCCTGCACCCACTGGAGCATCAGATTTCTATATAGTCAGTGCGTACGCAGAGGGATATCTATATGCTTCTAGCGTTCCCGTAGCCGACTCTGATGGATATTTACAGAAGAGAGTTCTCGTTCGACGTGGTGCTAGTTTTTCTGACCCGTGCGGAATCTGGCGATTGGTAAAGCTGGAAGGTGATCGATGTGCGTTATATAATGTTAATCAAGATGTATTCCTCAGTTCCCCACGAGCCTTGGCTTCAGTTCGCTCGAAGGCGCGATTAGTCTTGCTGGGATGTGGAGGAGATGGCATCTTTTAAAATGAGCAGAAGAGCGCAGTCGTGCGGCGTAGTTGGCGCGGAAGCTCTAAAAGTTCGCGCCAAAACGACTGGTTTGCATTTTGCTTGAAAATTGTACCCATCTAGTTTGCAAAAACATGAAAAGTGCACTTTTTGTGGTTGTACACAAATCACCATTCTTTCACACTTTGCACTTTGGTTGGTAAATTTTGTAATTTGACCGTGAAATGGTGTAGAACCCACAATATATCAATTAAGCTCGCTCACATACTGTAAAACATTTGTATTGCCGGACAGGGTAGTTTTTTTTTTAACTTACAGAAAAAACACTACCAAGATAAAAAACCTCATTATTATAATAAAAAACGTGCAGCTGCATTATTTATTCCGCTTCAACATCATCATCACTGTATCTCTCGAACATGTCGTCCGAGGCACTAACAGCGTCTTCAACAGCATTGAGGCGCTCCAACTCCTCCACTAATTCATTTACTGGCTCCACACTTATCGGTTCTTGTGTATCATCAGGCCCGTCGGGGTTACCACCCGAACGACACTTCAAAAGCCCAGCAAACCCACTTTTAATGACGTGAGCACCCAAGTTCTTCCAAGTTTTCATGATCCACATAATTACATCTCGTCGAC